GAAAGAGATTTAACTGGCACGGGCGTACGAGCGCTGCCGAGTCAATGCAGAGAGCAAAGTTTTCTTGTCCACCGCTCACGAATTTCGGCCAAACTTTCTGCTTGTGCCGTGGAAATATTTGGATGCATCAGGCCTGCTGGGAAAAGGCAGCTTTTTCTGCGGGAAACGTTTATTTTGCTGCACTCCAGAAGGGAATATATACACGTTTAACAGAAGTGGAAAGGTTTCCGCGACACAAAGCTGCCCCAGCCCTTCGTGGGAGCTGCGGTTTAGCCTCTGTACGCTCCCGCTGTCTACAGACAGGCTGCAGAGACCTAACTCTGCCGCCCAGGAGCCCCGGCACCTTTTCTTCTCTTCTCTTGCACGTTGCCTGCCCACCTGCCCTGCACATCTTGGGCTGCTGTTTTTGGAAAGTCTAGGCAGCGCTGGGCTAAAATTCGACGTGCTGCCACCGGATGTGGTGGCAATTGACTAAAAATACTCTAAAAAGGGAACTCCAGAAACTGTAATCAGATGCTGCGTTATTTTGCCTTTGCCCCTTCGGCCTGTTGAGGTAGGTCAAACTACTATGGAGAAATTGATAGAGCTCCTCAAAAACGTATGTGCCAATGTAGTTTTCGGGCAAAGATTTTGCAGTTTTGTTTAACAGAGCCTCAAGCCCTGCCACGGCCTGACCTATGCTCAGAGAGGGCATTAGAAACCCCACCGGCTCATTGCTTTGGACACCTTTGGATTGAACCTATAATGCGGTTCAAACGACTGGGGAAAGGCAGCCTGACAAAGGCGAGCAAAAAATAAAATCACATCAATAAAAGCACGCTTGAACCTGCTGTTGTAAGGAGTTTGGCAAAGACAATCAAAGGCTCAGTTTCCCCTTTGTTTTCCACCAGGCAGTGTTGCACAAGCATCTTAACTGGGCTTCAGAGCTACTGAAAACATTTAAGGATATTCGTAATGATGAATGATAGAGCTGCTCTGATTTGCAGAGTCTAATGCACTCTCCAGTCACTACCTATTCTGCTTGCAGGCCCCGATAATTTGATAAAACAGTTTAAAAAAAAAAAAAAAAAAAGGAGAAAAAGAGAGAGATGTTTCCTCACCCAAACGAGAAAAACCCGTTGGTGAGAGAAGAGGGACGACCTCGCCGTTGCAGTCACAAGCGGAGATGGGGCCCTGGGGGCTTCGCCCTCCTCCCAGTGGTCCCTTCCACCCCGGCACACGCGCGCCGCCAAGCCCCACTCACACTTTATCTGTGCCGTAGCTCCGGTAGTCCACCGCCGCCGAGACGGCCACGATGAGCGCTGGCATGCCGTAGCCGACCAAGTAGAAGTATTTCCTGCGGGAGTGCTCGCTCTCGAACACCTCCACCAGCATGATGTAGAGCTGCACCCCCTCCAGGAACATCCACGTGAAGGCCGCCAGGAAGAAGAAGTGCAGGAGGGCGGCGAATACGGCACAGGCAATCTGCGGGTGGAGGGGAAAGAGCGAGGGAAGGTGTTTGTACCACGCTACATCGATGCAAGTAAGGATTGCACACAGACATGCTCTAACTGGCAGGTTTAATAAGACAGAGGGAGTTCTGGAGGAAGCTTCCCATCTCCAAAGGACTCCACCGACTCCATTTGCCTGGGCAATTTTCCAAACCTTGACGTGACTTGTGAATACCCTTGGGTGCTGTTGGCGCGGTCGGACACCCACCAGGGGCTTCACAGCACAGCACTTACTGTGAGCGCGAGGCGACAAGGCAAAGGGACTCAAAAGGCAGGGAAGGACGCGGAAATGCAAAAGCCATTCCAGTGCCAGGCAGAAGGCCTTTTAAGGCCAGAACAGCAACCAGCTTCCTAGAGCTAAGGAAAAAACTCGCAGTGTCTTCATCTGCAAGTAAATAACACAGACCTGAAACAGGTCTGTTTTGGTGAAAAGCAGAAGCAAAATGCAATTTTCTGTTTTCTCGGGTTGAGCTCTTTAACAAAACGAAGCAAGAAGCACGTTAGTTTGCTTTCCAGACACATTTGCCTTAACAGAGAAGAAAGGACGAGGAATTTCATTTCCACTTGTTGAGAAAGGACTTGAATCAGAGCCCACCAAAGTCACTGCAGTGATTCCCTGCGACTCCGACTTGGGCTGTAATGCAAGCCGCAGCCTCACACTACGCAGGTTTTTGACCATGCAAAGAGCTATATGTGGAGTTAAGGTGTCACCGGAATATCCCACTGCAAGGTTAAAGCACCGATATGCACTGAGGCGAGAGGGTACAGGGAGAGCAGAAAGCGCTTCGCCTCTTACCGGCTGGTCAGTCCGGTTGATGCCGATGAGGAAGAGGAGCTCCGCCACAAAGAGGCTGATGCACAAGTTCTTGTGAATCGTGTTGCGGTCGCTCTGGAGTCCGCGGAAGAAGCAGAAGGTGAAGATGCAGATCAGGAGGCAGACGAGCGAAAGCAGGATGCCAACCCACGTGATGAAGTCCAGCAGCAGGTCATGGACTGCGTCGCTGTGCTGGAGAGAGGACCAAAAAACCATCAGTCAACATCCAGCAGGCTGCGGGTGCCATGAACAGGCTCAGACCCCAAGAAATCCCAGAAATAATGATGTTACTGAAAACACAACTAGTCTTGCGCGCAGCTCCATTTCTTGCAAACACAGCAAAGGAGCAGACACACTCCATAGAGAACCATCAAACACAGTAAGTCAAGTGTAAAAACCTTTCATACTCACAAAGTCATGGCGATTACAAGCCCAAGCCCATTAAAACATTTGCCAATGGCAAAAAAGGCGCCCTTTACAAGTTTGCAGAGAATGACGAGCTTGGCATTTTTGGACAGAAAAGAGATCACTTAAACATCTTTTCTTTTTTTACACTGGAGAAGGAAAAAGAAATCCTGACTTTTCTCTTTCAAACCTTGGAGCTATTTTTTAAAACTTCTGGGAAGTCAGATTGAACACTGGAATACTACCAGAACAAAGACAGACCTTTTGCAGGTGCACTTGCTTTTAAACTGCAACAGAACACAAATTTTAAGAAGGTCTGGAAAGCGGGTGGCTCTTGTGACACGGACTTTTCCAAAAGCCATGCATGTGAGGCCAGCGGCAATGTTAGGCAACCCAGGGACAAAATCTTATCGGGGCGCTATAGGTATGCCTAGGTTCTGCTGATAAAACATCACTGCCTTCCTTTCTGTGCTTGCGTTGCATTTACTTCCCCCTAAAATGATGGGGGTGCTGAGAATCGGGTATTCCACTACCTTATTCTGACTGCAGAACTCGCCTCTAACTCCACAGGTTTCCTCCACATGTAGTGAAATTAGAGATATCATTGCTTAGTAAAATATAAATAAAGAAACGAGAAATATATGGTCAGTCACAGGACTGCTGCTCGGGGCTAAGTGGTTAGAGTCAGTGAGCTGAGGGAAAGATCGCCTGCAAATCTCTAGGGCCTTTTCGAACAGCCCTGAGAGCCACGAAATCCAGCTTTGTGGTCCACCAAGCTGTGTTACAAGCAGTATTCACGTTCCCCTCCGCTGCTGGTATTTTGATGACTTAAGCATTATGCAGGCTGGCAAATACAATAGTGTCACACTTCAAAAAGCCGGGGCGAGCTGGAAACACTCCCCTCCCTGTGGGATAAAACCCTATGACAGATGGAGGGAAAAGGTGATTAATTTATCCATTTCTTTGCCTGCCTGCCAATGATAAAGCCACATCAAATGTCAGGCACTTCCTGATATATGCTCTGCTATGTCAGCACCCATGAGAAACCGCTCAAACCTTTCAGCACTTTGGCTTTATCAGCATGAGTGATAGGCATCAAATGATAACGAAAGATGGTGAGCGACTCCCCCTCATCTCTCCTCTCCTGGCCGTTTCCTCTCCAGGGAGACTACCAGGAGGCGGTGGAGAGGACAAGGGCTCATTTCCCCAAACGCTCTTGCTGCTCTTCTGGAGTATTTGTGATAGGTAAGGAATTAAGGAGTGCAAGCGCAACAAAGAGGCTAGAAATCATTATGTGCTTACTGCGGATCATGACAGAAATGCCTATTCCATCTAGCTTCTCCAGCAGCACCCAAAAAAACCAAGAAGATGAAGTACACATCGCTTTCCTGGCAGCAGCGCATTGCTTTATCATCTCAGTGTCACTCCAGCTCATCCATCCTTCTTAACTCAGTGTACAAAAATGTTAATGCAAGCCATGATTCTTGCAAAGCGTTCTTTATTTCATCTGTGGCTGCTGGAAAGCAGCAGGATAACGTCTCCCTGGGCAACCTCCAGCTCACCTGATTAGATGGTACCACCAGGCAGAAAGGATGGGGAGCTTCGGGGCTGGGAGAGCTAAGGTAAGCAGATGCAAGCAGAGAGCAGCCAGGTGGACTTTGCCAGGGTGGATGATACGAGGCCAACGGCACAAGTTTGTACATTCTGCGACAAAGCTGGTCTTTGCACACGAGAGCTGCCGAGGGCTTCTTCCTGCTTCAGTAATGGGGTATGGGAGTTAAATTCAGCACGTGGGCTGTGCAAGGGCTACCCTCCACGGAGTCAGAGAGGGAAGGGGGCGGTAGCCAACCCAAGTCAGCACCAGCTTTTCTGCAGCTTGCTAGCAGACTGGCTCAGGGTTTATTACATTGGTTAGTGTGAGCTGCTTGAGAGACTAGTGGCAGTTTGCAGGAGAGCATGCCAGCAGAGCCTGTGTTTAGTCCATTTTGGTCGCTGGAGTCTCTGGTAAGGTGTAGGCTCCAGTAGGCTCTTCCTCAACACAAGACAGGTGACCTCTATGTGAGACGAACCTCACAGGTCTCAGCTCCCATCCCCCTATCACAAATTCATCACTGTGCTGACTTTAAGGCCCAGAAGAGAGGCCGACAATGCGTGAACTCATGAACCTTTTGCCTGAGAGGCTCGGCTAGCCCTGCTATCAAACAACGCAGACTTGGTTGTTGTATTATGGTTATTATCACTCTCGCTATTGTTCTTCTTAATATTAATTGCAATGCTAATACTGATTTTATGTACATAACACCCATCCCTCCAGCACTGGAAAACAATCATAAGAACAACCTCTCCGTAATTACAACCTCTCCCTCAACCTCAGCAAACGTACAAAAGAGCAAACAAGTAGGAATAATAACCATAAAGAGTGAACAAGAGCAATTTAAAAACCACCTCGGGGAAAAAATACTAATTTGTAGCTTTTCTCTGAAAGTCCAAGAGAAGAAACGAGCCAGATTTCAAAGGCTGGGTGTGCTCCATCATCTTTGGGATACCCAACGACCAGAAGGAGCACCTCCAAATTTTGGGTGCCATGGCAGATGCCCTCAGGGCATCGAGGAGTAAGTAAGCGCTGGAGCCCTTCCCACGGCATGGTCTACTGTAAATTATGCCAAATACCTCCAGAACTTTATAAATCAGCAAGTCCAACAACAGGGGATCCGCCTCTTACTGGGGACCCAGACCTGTAAAACACTCTGCTGCCACAAAGGGTGCACCGGCCTCAGCAACATGGAAAAAAGAGGAATTGCAGTAATCAGTCCTCATTACCATGAGATTATCCTTGCCATCACCAGATCATCATGTGACAAATAAGGGAGCAATGTACCCGGTTTGCACAGTCAGCAATTGGTTTTCCAAGGTTAAGTATGATAAATACGACACCAAGACTTTGTACCTGGGTCACAATGTCTGAGCAATGCGCCCTTGACCCATGGAGATGTGCAAGAGGAGCAAATCTTCTCTTTACCTTGCCCTGTCCAGCACTGTCCCTGACTGAGCACATATCTGCTAATGATACCATTCCAGCTTCCCACAAGTCCCAGGTCCCTATACCATGGAAAATACATCTGAAACCATCAGCATATCAATAACAATCAACCCATGCTTCTCGATAATCTCCCCAAAGGCCTGGGTAACCGGAACAGCCCTTGGGAGACACCAGATGACAGGACAAGGGACAATTTCCTGAGAGCATCATTGGCAGCATCTGACTTTCCCGGCAGAATATTCACAGCGGAGGAGCGGGTATCTCCCCTTCCATTGAGTATGGGCCCATGACCTGTATCAGCAGATGATGAAAAATCCAGTATAACCACTTCTCATCTAACACATGTTGAAGGTCATTTATGATCCTGACACCATCAGGTGGCTAAGCCAAAATGACACGTACCCAGGGCTTCACTGGAATTGGCAGACCCTTGAACTGAAGCCACTCTCGCCTCACCTTTCGCAGACCAGGGAGTCTGACCTGCAACCTTAAAAAGAACTCATTTTGCAGAGAGCAGGTAAAACACACCTCCTTTCTCAAACGAACCACGGCAGTCAAGATTGGTGCAAGATCGTCAGGATTGGTAAGCCACTGAGTTTTGTTACCACTAAATCTATACTAGCTTTGTAGGGAAGTTTACGCGCAGGTTATTTTCAGTTCAGAAACAACTTATTAAGTAAACTGTGCAAAACGTCACTGATGGATTTGTTCCTCCGCATTCCGAAACTGCAGGACAGACTCAGAAGACAGCAACAAAGGCTGGACTAATATTTTAAAAATTGAAATGAAAGGGCTCCTATCATAAGTTTTACGCTGGGGACTTGGGCACGAACCTGACCCAAAGCACAGTGAAAGAAGACTTCCTTGGCCTTCCCCAGCTTCGGACTAAACTCCTGTCTTTGCTTTGGTGAGGCCAAGACGGGCTAGCAGAGCGCGCTGATGGAAACCTGTGCGGTGTGAGTTACAGGAGCCCTGGTAGCAACCACAACGGGGTGAGCAGGCAGCCGAGATATTATCCGGACTGCAAAATGCACTGGAAATCTATGAGCAGCCCTGGCAGCGCCTGCACGCCAGAGCTGAGCTAATAAAAACAAATCCCAGGGAATGTCAGATTATGACAGAATGACTCTCCCCAAGATGAACAGCCATTTCCTCCCTTATTAAAAACATCAGTAGAAGAAAACAGCAGCCAAACAGAGCTGCCAGCAGCAAAGGACACATTCCTCTGGCTAATCTGTCCCTTTAGGAAAGGCAACAGTAATATGGTTGGGGGTGGAGGAATAACAAGCAGTAAATAAAAACACACTGTCATCGACTCGCTCAAATATGACCGCGCGGGGCCCACTGGGATCTGGCAGTGTGCTGGCTTGGGCATGGACCCAAGTGGGACAGATTTAAACTCCGGTGCGTTGCTTGTGCAACAAGCAATTCCTCGGATTTGCAGTCGTCCAGGGCAACGCGGACTCCCTCTGCCCTTTTTCCCATCACTGCTACTGAGAGGGAATTTCTGCTATGACCTGGCTGTACTTCTTCACGGCAAAGTACAAACCTGCCTGAAGCTCACAGGCAATGCTACTGCCTCCCGACTACAGCAATTTAAAATCAGGCCCAGATCCCATCACGCAAGGTGGTTTAGCTGCTTTCCCTCTCCTTGCCTCGCTCCTAACAGCTGCCGCCCATGTATTCTGCATGGGTCACACAGCCCGTCCTCCTCCTCCTCTGCCTTCTGCAGCCTGATGAAGGCCTC